TAAACATCAAATAAGCATCTAAGATACATATTTGAAGAAATTGTAAAATAATAAGTTGTTGATTGTACCTTGTAAATCACATAACACTTCTTTGTATACAACGTTTGATGTGTAGATTCCATCATTATCAAACGTTTTTTCCGGCTTTACTGATACCTTGGTATTGACACGTGATATTCCTCTGGACAACGCCACATAAAGCTGGTCATGTGAGAATACCGATTCTGGTAGATAAACACCTACATTTGAAATTGTTTGTCCTTGAGCTTTATTGATTATCATAGAGAAACTAAGTTGAATTGGAAACTGTTTTCTCTTAAGTTTGAATGGGAACATCTCATCGTCAGACGGACATAGAGGAATTCTTGGTAAAAACACTCTTTTTCCAGCATGTTGGCCAACAGCTATCTCTGCATCAATGACATTTTGTTGGGAAGCTCGACATATCAATCTGGTGCCATTACATAACCCATTTGAAGGATCGATATTTCGCAAAAGTATTACAGGGCACCCAGTTTTTAACCGAAGATAATGAGGGGGTACACCACTAACATTTAGCGAGTTCAAATATTCCATCGGATATAAGTTATTTTTGTCATCTTCCGCTTCATCAAAACTATAGTAAACTTTTTGCTCGCCAGAAAATCGTTCGATCAACTTATTATTAATCTCATCAACACTTTCATTTTTAGTTGACAATATCGCCCTCGAAATGATAAATTTTGAATCGGCGCCGTTGGATTGCAAAGAAGGAAATATTGCATCAATCAGAGCGTCCACTGATTTAGTTTTATCAGCGTATGGAATGGACATGTTAGCTATCCTTCTCATTTTGTTTTTCTCCTTTTTTCGTGCATAATAGTTTCTATTGTATCTTTTTCGATTTTCTACAAATATATTATTTGGATAAATAGTCATATATTATAAATGCAAATATATACTCATATAAACGACATACCTTTTTCTATATCTATCGGGTTTTGGGAATCATCACAGTTTTCGTTTCCCTTATCTACGGTCCTCATTGAACACTATAATGGAAATGTTAAGAATAAGCACATATTATATAATCAAGAATGTAACATTTTGTAATGTAGACCATGTGATTTAGTAGTCATGTATGTGTAACACAACCCTTAATAAATAACCAACTATACTAAAAACTTGTAATCCAAAAACACAATAGAAGAAACTTATACATAGTTAAAAGAAAATTTCCATAGATATCCAAAAATTATTATTTATCAATTCATAAGTCAACACAAGAAAAATAAACCACACATGAAAGAATTCACCACAATATGTCTAACAATAATGTAGATCAACAATAAAAGCAACGCACTCGTAAAAGTTGTCAAAACTTCAAAAAAAAACACTACCAAATGTCTCACACGGAATTAAAAATTCTTCTAGGCATATTTATGATGTTAAATGCTTCTGGCATCTGCGGTTGGAACTCTACGTTGCTTAGTTTGGTTGATATCAAAATGTTCACTGAAAATAAGATAAAAACTAGGGGTGACCAAAACCGAACCAACTAAAAAACCGATGAAACCGCAATAAACCGCAACCGGAAAACCGAAACCGATGCAAAAACCAATGGTGCGGATTTCGTTTTTGCAAAAACCGAAGGTCAACGGTGCGGTGCGGTTTTTATCCAAAAACCGGTCAACCAAAACCAAACCGCACTATAGGTGTATATATATATATATATATATATATATATATATATATATATATATATATATATATATATATATGGAAAAGTTCAATAGAGAACAATAATTATTGGTTCTTCAAGGAACCAAATCTTTTTTTTTCAATTTCTAGAGCTTATTGTTTATCGAAAAAAAAAATCTAAAAATATCTAAATTCATATATTAACATTGTGAATGTGAAAAATATTTTTCGGATTCACCGTGTGAATCCGGATTCACATTGTGAATTTTCAAAGATTCACATTGTGAATTTGACATAAAAAAAAATGAATTTGATATCATTGGAAAAAGGATAAAAAATTATGAATTTCTGTATTTTTAGTTTTTTTTTTGATAAAAAATAAGTTCTAAAAGTTGAAAAAAAGATTGGTTCCTTGGTTAATTATGGTTCCCTATTGAACCTCACCCTATATATATATATATATATATATATATATATATTATATATATATATATATATATATATATATATATATATATAATATGTTGACTTGAGTTTGACAAATTGAGGTTAGGTTAAAACTTAAACCCAAAATTTAATCCATATTCCACATATTGAAAAGGAATTCAAATTTACCTTCAGGCGACTACCGACTAGGCTCAATCCCCGTCGTTTTTAACTCTTTTTTTTTACCTTCGCTCCTAGCCTCCTACCTTTTGGCTTCTGTTACACATGAAATCATAATAGTTTATGAGCGTCTTGCGAGTTGCGACATCACTCCCAGCCTCCGACCATTCTCCCTGTTCGTTTGTACTTTGTGTTTGTGTAAGACTATGTGGGTTGCAAAAGGAATTGCATATCATTAGGACATTAGCCAAACTTACTAATTGAATGTGTCTTATATGATTATAACAAATTCTAATTCAACCAAAGTTCAGTTATTAATTTATTAGTTTGTGAGAGTAGTTACAGTTGCATTGTTGTTTTTTAAGCCACTTACAATTTTTGCTTATGTACTTTTGTTTTGGGCTAAAATGAATGGTTTCAAAAATGAAAAGAAGTCACACCATACAAGCGTAAATGAACATGGTTTTCAGTTTTCAAGGTATCAAAAATATTACACCATTAAACATAAAAAAAAATTGCACCAAAGGCTAGACACGATTTAAAACCGAAACCGCACCGATACAAACCGAAACCGCATTTAAAACCCGCAAAACCGAACCATTGAAAAACCGCACCCAACGGTTTTAAGAATCCAAAAACCGCACCATGCGGTTTGCGGTTCGGTTTTCCCTTAAAACCACACCAAACCGCACCATGCTCACCCCTAATAAAAACTATTAAAATGTATTGATTTAGTTATTTTAATATCACTACAAGTATTATAATTTTCTAGAAAAAACTTACTTGAATCCAAATGAACCAATTTCACCCGAGAAACAAATATTATATACTTTCTCTTTATCGCATAGACAGTCCTCACAATCTGATGGCGTGTTCGGTCGGTTATATGTAGTTTCATCTTTATTATACTCCCCCTATTTATAATCAAATATTTCCAAAGTCACCAAATTTTGTTTTAGTGTAATAATAATAATAATAATAATAATAATAATAATAATAATAATAATAATAATAATAAACACTTACGGCCTATCTTGGAGATATAAAGTGGACGAAGTTAACGTCAGTAAACCAGAGTAACGGGAATAGTTTCGCTTGCCTCTGATGATTTTTCCAACAATATAACGATAATTAAACTTGTTATTATTTTAACTTTAGAATGATTAAATTACCGATCATCATTTTTCTCTCTGCCCGATCCTCTACTAAACTTTTTATCGAGGGAACCAATGGAAAAACCGAAAACCATGATATGATAGCATCGGCCAAACGATTAAACCGTGTGTTATTGCTGATCTTAATCATCAAATCGCCACGTAATACACTGTATTCTTGATACCTCGGATACTCAGCATAGGTTGGTTCGATTTGGAAATGGTTTAAAGATAACACATCACCCAATAGATTCCCTCCATAAATAAAACGCATCATTTGTTGTGAAACAACTGCTAACAATTTCTCTCTCTAATAGAAAATGTAATATTTTTATAAACAAAATACTTATGATAAATTATGAAAAACCAATAAGATATAAATAATTTTTAAACATACATTTTGATCAATGAGAACAATGAAGAGTTTGTTGGTTCTTGAGTCCCTCCAAATGAAATCCACACGAACGGGTGTCAAAATATACCACAAATGGAAGTTCAGTAGCAATGAAAATGCATCAACGTAAATGTGACCATTCATGATTCTACAAAACGAAAGTCATATGTGATTGATGTAGAATTGATTTACATCATTATTTATATAAAAAACTATGTCGATTTGAGATGCCCAAAGTATAATAACATATGTATTGTAAATTTGAAATATCCAAGCAATAAGAGTTTTTATTACATGATTTATTCATTAAATATTACAGAAAAACCAAAGCATATATATACAACAACAAAAAAGAAAATATGGTCGTATAATGGACCTAATATGAATCAATTATTATCTCGATCCAGTTGAATATATCAATATTATGTTGAAATATGCGATCTTTACTATTAGTTGTCTCTAGTTTTAGTATTCTTTAATTAATACTTTACAATATTTTTATTATCTTCTTGTATTTTCCTTTACAAATAGCTAGGTAGAGATAAGACTTTATCCATCAGATTACAATTTTATGGGATCTGTGTATTGTTCATTTTGTGTGTTGAAATTTATACAGTGCAATATATTCTATATTTATATAGTTAATTGTACCAAAATGGCTCCAAATTCTAGAACTGGGCTAAGCTTTTATGATTGTCCAATGATAGAGACTTGACAATATATAGTAATGTGGAAATTCACCCATTTGATTGGGTTCACGAAAACATGTTGAAAGAGCTATAATGCTTGAATCCATGTACCCAAGTACACAAGTCAAATCAGTTTTAAAACAATCTAAAGTAATCTACCCTAAGGTAAAATTATATGTATATACAAGTTATGATAAGGAAATAACATATAATAATTTAAAGAATACGCTGTTAGGACATTGACTAATCAAACATATAAAATATTTGAGATCTCTTTTCACATATTAATAATTGAAAACTTGGATTAAAGTTTGATCACAAACCATTATCAGTCATTCACATGGATCAGAACACCATTTTTTTTACCATTACATATAATTATTATTATTATTATTATTATTATTATTATTATTTTGTTTTGTTTTGAAGGATGTGCAAAATATATGGTTAACATAAATAACACAAATAATTCATAAAGCCTAAGATGATTATACTATTACATTCTGTGTATGTCTTATAAAGATCTAACAAATACATTAAGATGATTATACTATTACAGGAACAGGAACAAAGCAACACAGGGACAAAAATACATTAAGATGATTATACTATTACAGGAACAAGAACAAAGCAACACAGGGACAAAAATACATTAAGATGATTATACTATCACAGGAACAGGAACAAAGCAACACAGGGACAAACGTGATACAAAGGAAAACTCAATTCAAATGGTTACACCAAATTCGATCTAGTAAAGTAGAAGAAGTAAAGAAGACAGAAGACAGAAGAAGATTCATCAAACAGATAGAAGAAATAAAGAAAACCTGAATTCGTGTCACGAAATGTAATCCAATGCAATGAAGTAATCTTCTAATTTCCGATTCCTTATTGGTGAATTGTGTTGTGAAAGTAAAAAATAAGAACATAATATATTAGATTTATAGACAGAATAATGTATCATATGATGTATTTTCGGATATTAGTAATTGTCAAAAGTCATACCAAAAATATTTTAAATCATAACATAAATAGTAAATGTCAAAAATCATACCAAAAATATTTTAAATCATACCATAAATAATAACCGTCAAAAGTCATACCAAAAATATTTTAAATCATACCATAAATACTAACTGTCAAAAATCATACCAAAATTAATCATATTATTATCATATTTTCATTAAAATAATATCATACTAAAAATAAAATATATATTAGAAGCTGAAATTACTGTAAATGTTAGTAACATTTAATTAATATCATGAAATACTAAAAAAAATTTAAATAAAAAAGGGTTATATTACAATTTTCATTCCAATCCAGGACGGAATGAAAATTAACAAAATGGAAGGAATCAGAATTCAAATGCCTTTGGGAATGCTCAATTCCATTCCATTCTTCCGATTCCATCATACCAAACAAAACAAAATAATTCTTAATGTAAAAAAATAACTCGATAATAAATGAAATAAAAAAAAAGATATTACCAGGACTTCAAAACTAAGTTTATTAAATAAATAAATAAACAAGAAGGGTATAAATGGCAAAGGAGAAAAGTAAGCTACCCTTCTTTTTGGCCAAAGCCTGAACCAGGGACAGTAGAAATGCCAGTGGCTTCCAAGAGCTTGAGGCAATAGAAAACATTAGGAACTTTTCCAGCACTTTTTGCAGCTTCAATTGCGTTTGGGGGTAGTTTTATTTGTGGGAATGAATACATGGCGCCTGATTTCAAATTTAAATAAATAAGAAAGAATTAATATCAAGAAATATGAGGTCAGAGAACAGTTTTATCGGAAAATGGCTAACCTTCTGTGAAATTACAAACAACATTTTTGCAACTGTTGAATCCATATGTCATCATGTGTGGCTGTGTGCTCTCTTCCTTAGTGATTCAAGGATACCCTTGCTGCATTTGTTTACCAAGAGAATTGTCTAAAATACCCCTCCATAACAACAATACTTTGCAAACAAGTAATTTTATCTTTAAACTACTCTAATCATCTAATTATTATACCCTTCAGTGATGACAAAATAAGTGAAATTTTTATAAATCAACAGTTTGTGAATGATGAAAATTTGAAAATGGACAATTAGGTAATTTTACCTATCTCTAAGAAACTGCCCATACGAGATATCACCTCCGAGTGTAAGTTCTTGAGCTGAAGTACTAACTTTCAACATCCAGGTAGCAGGGTTATATCCGTCTTTTATCTTACTTACGCCATCAACAGCCTGTTTTATCAAAACATTCACTAAGGTGATAATGATAATATCTCTTAATATTATCTAGATTTGGGACGATTTTGCATATTTAATTAATATACACATATAAACCTGCAGTACGAATTGAAGAACATTCACATTCGTCATCCATCTTCTGTCTTTTTCTTCTTCCTCTTTGTATTCCATCGGCTTCAACATATCAGGTACTTTTTTTCTATATTTCTTTCTGTTTCATTTTCATCTGTTGCTCTGTGTATTAGAATGTGTATGGTTATAACTGAAAACAATTATCCTGCCACAGGGAAATACCAAGGGCAAGGGCAGTTTTTACTTTACAAGAATGTCCAGCAAACAAAGGGCCCTTCCAGCCATCTTTATTTGGCGGGTCATATCAATTACAAGGCCACCAACATTTGTTGCTGCTACTTGACCAATAAATCCTACCGCCAAAGGGATTGTTTTTCCAGTAGCCTACACAAGTACATCTGGTTTAGGCATAGTGTAACAAATGGAAATTTTGACTTTGTCCTACATTTCTGATTTTAAAACAAGACATGACTTAATAATTACAAATTCTTTAGATGTTAATAAAATTATTTTCTTTTGCAAATACAGAGGTTTTATAAGATATAAATATTACTTTACAATACAACATTTAAAAAAAAATCAAGTTATCTTGATTTTCAGTTTTACTTACTTGACCATGTATAATAAGGTATAATCAAAATATACACAAATCGAAATACTATCTCTATAAAATTGTTAATATATTTTTTTTTAAATAGAGAGTTTTGATAAGATAATAAAAATAACTATAATTTTACACAAAAATCAATGTAAATTTTTTGGGTTATTTTTTAAGTTCCAACATAATTCAATTCCATTCTCAATTTGCATATTATTTACGGATAATTTAGATACTTGACAGACTATTAAGGGTAATTTAGTAATTTACCTTTAAGAGCAGCTTGTAAGCCTCTAATAAGAGATTTGCAGTTGGTCCAAATCCATTCAATTGTGATACTTTAAAATATAAGTTTTACCACTTTTACATATATGGCCCCTGTGCTGTCTTACTTTTACTTTGCTCAGTCCAAAATTGTAACTTTTCCATGAAACCTTGAAATAAGGAGCAAAAGTGAAAAAGGTTTTGAGTTCAGACAAAACAAGGTAAAAAGAAGGAAGTACAGGGACCATTTTTTTAATTTTACTACATAAATTGCAAATAAGTAAGGATTACTCTTAAGATCTTTAAGCTTCCATATAGACCACTTATACTAATATATGTTCGTATAAAACATATAAAATTAACAAGTGTAAATGACATAAATTGTCTGCAATCTTGCTGATGACATATAGAATAAGATTGAAAGGGATGATGCATATATACCTGCCAATCCAATAGATCAACAATAATGTTATCTGCATGCTCATAAGCTGACTGGAGTTGCTCCAATTCTTGGGGAGAAGATATTTCAGAAATTGTGGCAACCAATTTAGCCTTGTTGTCAAAAAGACTCTTGTCTTCAATGAAGATGGGATTTATCAATGCTATTGCTGCGTGTAGCAACAATAAAATTAGGATGGATGAAAATCGTTTCTTGGATTTTACCACATTCATATGTTCATAACTTCTCACAGTATGTGATTTGTGGGAAATGTCAATGTAGGTGTGGAAAAGGAATGGGAAGATTTAGAACATGACATAAAGGTTTAGCAATCAGTAACTCATGGTGAATCCTATAAGAGCTTCTATAGAAATTAAGCTAAAATGGATAATGCGTTGCTAGCATCTATGATCTAACCTACGCTGAAAGCTGTTTAGGGGCATCCGATTAAGCTTTTGAGAGGAAAATCCATATAAAAACAAATCGATCCATATAATTATGAAAATTTCCTACATGACAACTGAAGTCCCGAGTGTATCTCCCTTTAGAAGCAAGTAACTAACAATATCAGTAGACTTACAAGACCAATCAGTAGCGAGCTGGCGATGAATAGAAGAGAAGATGAACGTGGTCCAACCCCTTTCAACAGCTGCCGTCATAACCTGCTTGTTCTCCGTCCATATCCATACCTCCTTCTTCTTCTTCTTCTCCATCGACATTGTTACAATCACACCGCTCCTAAATCGTGAAATGCGCTTACCACAGTTGCTTCTGACAGCACAATGGATTAATCTACGAGTCGTCAAATTGCCTAAGGACAATAAATAACATGATTAAATGCATAATCCAATGAATCGAGTAACTAATTGCACAAAGATAAACGAAGAGCAACCTCGAGAGAACCTGTAATGGTGATGAATGGGGAAGAAGGGGGAGAAGAAGGCGATAGAGTAGCCATTCCTGTGTTTGCTATTTCCAGTATTTTAACTCCTTGTTGGGTTCAAATGGAAGGAATCAGAAAAAGGGTTATATAATAAACCATACAAACGTGTAAACTCGGATAAAGGTCGAATACTCACAGATCAAGTATTGCATCCTCGTTTTCTTCACCGTTAATGACCTCGATTGCTTCAAGCCTGACGATCGGAGCAACCTGAGCCCCCGTGTCTTCGTCGTCAGCAGCGGCTTCCTCCTCTCTGTGTTCGGGATCATTGATAGCCATTATAGTTGAGGATCGAAGATGCTGAGACCTGAGAGCGTCTGTTAGGGTGAAAATCGAAGGCGGCGGTGTCTTCGTCGTCAGCAGCAGCCGCTTCCTCCTCCTCTCTGTGTTCGGGATCATTGATAGCCATTAGTTGAGGATCGAAGATGCTGAGTAGCATTAGTCTCCGTTACAGATCTAAAAAATCAGAGGTTTGATTGATCTGTTCATCACCGCCTCCGTATGAAGTTAGGAAAGGGGCATCTTTGGTGGTGTCGATGTGAATAGGTTAGATGGCAGTGTGTTTAGGGATTCCTTGTATTAGGGTGTAGTATATGATCCGTGTAGCGTGTAGTATAATACGTATAATGCTTAATATATTGTACATGAGGTAATATATGTTGTAACTCCTAATTTTCAAGAAATGGGCGATATCTTTAATAATATAGTAAAGATATATCCAACAAATAAACTAAATCCAATCAAATGTCCAATTAAATTTTAATTGGTTTGGATCAGTTTTAATGAATAACTAGCAAAGTACTCGCGGCTACGCCGCTTTTGGGGTAATATGGAATAAATTGGCAAACTTTAAAAGATATGTACTAAAATTGTAAATAACCACAAATAGGAGAGAAAATCGACAACCCTTAAAATTAGATGTCAAAAGTATACAACTAAAAGAATGGACACTGGTGGAGAAAATCCAAAAATGTTGTGGTGATAATGTTAAAGTTGGGAAAATATGGTGGCAAAATTCTAAATGAAGTTTTTTGTGTTTTTTATGTCAAAATGTAAAAATTTTGATTACAAGGACGAAAAGTGTCAAATTCATTAAAGATTTGTGGCAAAAACACCATAATGTAAAACTTTTGGCTGTAAGGACTAAAAGTGTCAAAATCACTAAAAATTTGTGGCAAAAACCTAAAGTCACAAAAACTTAATCAAAACATAAAATGTAAAAGATTTGACTTTAAGGACTAAAAGTGTCAAATTCACTAAATACTTGTGGCAAAAACCTAAAGGTAAAAACATTACTATTGCTAAGCTCCTTTGGATTTAATATATATATATATATATATATATATATATATATATATATATATATATATATACTCTAATAAATGAAAATCTTTTTGCCACATGTAACACTTATATTGATTTGGCCACGTGTGTTGTGGTTAATTTCAATTAAATTTTTTCCACATGGCATTTTGTGATTTTCCATTTTATTAAATTCACATAATATTAAATTTAATAATTACAATAAATATAATAATAAATGCATATCAGTTTCAAGAATTAAATGTCTTTCTAATTTCAACATTTCTAAATTAAAACTTTAGTTTTATTTGTTTATTTATCTAAATTATTTGTTTAAATTTAAAACAAAAAAAAACACTTTAATTTTAATATTTCAATATTTTTTCTAATTTTTCTTGTAAACTCAAACTTTTTCAAATGTTTAGAATTTTTGTATTTTTTTAAAATGAACCCATATAATATATGGGTCTTACATCTAGTATATATATATATATATATATATATATATATATATATATATATATATATATATATATATATATATATATATATATAAAATTAAATTAAATTAAATCTGGTGAAAGAGTCGAAATCCAATATATATAACCTTTAAATTTCCTCTGATGAACGCCCTATTTAAGGATACCTGAGGTATTTTTTTAAAACACCTTATACTTTTTTAAAACCCTTAACTTTTCTTCCTCTCGTCATATAGCCGCTCAAATCTCACCAGTCTTCTTTCGTTCTTCTCTGTGGGAGCTGCTATCGAGAGCTTCTATATTTTCCGGTCGACCTTGATCGAAGCCATCTGCTGCCTCCATATCCAACGCCGACACCTGCTATCTCCATCTCCAACACAGGTATGCTTCTGTTTTTTCATTAGCTCTGATAGGAGCTTGATTGGAGCTCTGTAATCTGTTAGATTTTTTCGGCAATTGCAATTAGCGTGCAATTGCAAACTTTTGAAAGTAATTTCATACCTCTGCTGTTTTCTTCTTCTATTACCAATATCTTAGATTTGTGTTTCTATTACCTCTGCAATTAGGTTCCCACGGTATGGAATTGTGTCTGATTTCATACCTAATAGCATCTTTGTGTTGGTTTTATTTGAAACTTTTTGTATACAGAATGGTTGATTCTGTTGTCTTTGATAATTAAACATACCCTTTTTGGTGATTTTACATGTGAAAGTTAGCAAAACAAAATTGAACTTATTGGGTGAATTGTGTGTAAGGTAAGTATGAAACAACATAATGTACTATTCAATAATATACTATGGTGTGTTTTTGTAAAATTGGATTATTTCAAAGGGTAGTGTTTGTTTATACTTTATAATTATAGTAGCTTATGTGAAAATTGCATACTGATGTTTACTTGTTTTGTGAAAGTGTAGGAATGGGAAAAAAGAAGTATATTTATTGGAATACGATCAGGCCTTGGTCAGATCTTACTCATGATGTGCTTTTATTAGTTATGATGAAGCTTGGAATTGTTGAGTTTCTTGTATTCAGCAGAGTTTGTAAGGCATGGAGATCACTGGCAGTTTCTAACAAGAAAAAGTTTCTGGGCTCCAGAGAACCAATGTGCGTATCTCTCACTATTAATGATCCTAACGATAAGGACTGCAATCTTGTTGGCAGGACAATTGTTGGAGTAACTTGTGGTTACTTAATATTATTTGGCGAGAAAACCTCCGACTTCTGGCTTCTGAATCCTATCACAAGCCATGACCTTCATTTCCCTGATATCCCCTATGATTTACTTCATTGCCCTGGAAATCACAGGGGTATCCTAGTCTATTCACCATCAATATCCGGATACGTGTTTGTTCTGTTTAATCGATGCTATAATCATAAAATATGGTTTTGTATAGCGGGTACACGAGAATGGACTTTTGTCTACACCGACCTTTACCCCATTCATGATTTAATTGCTTTCAAGGGGAAGATATATACTGCACACTCTGTTCATGGATCAGATAAAGTGAGGCTATGTGAAATGAAACTCTATCCAAACCCTAAATTGGTGTTACTCGAGACCTAGAGTTTTTCAGAACCAAATTTCAAACGTCCCGGATTTGTGACTTCTGGTGAAAATCTTTATTTGATAGATATTACAGTTTCAGAACATCCTTACAAGATTCATGAAATAGATCTTGACAAAATGAAATGGGTGTCACGTGAAAATAAAGGAAAACAATATTCCTTCTTTCTTTACGATTTTAAGTTATGTGATGACCACTTACAATATGGGCGATATGTTTTTAATGGTCAGAATGGAAAGGATGTGCCGGCTAAAGCAACAAGCATGTGGTATTTCTTCTTTGATTGTTTGAATGTTGATCGCATACATGACTGATTTATTTGTTACAACGTTTATCTTTCTGAATCCAAGTCTAGAAGTCACATACTTCTTCTTTAAATCTCCAAAAATCAACACAAAAAACTTAGAGGGCAACAATGGTGGTTAGGCTTTGCTTGGAGGCTGAGAGAGTGTGATGGAGGCTGAGGTTGAGAAACCCTATCCATCACATTCCATTAATTAAAAAACAAACCCCTAAAATTAGGATTTCTCATTAAACAGCTGCCACGTCGTGGCTATAGGCTGCCACACTGTGACAGTCATTTAAAATCTGCGACACAACTACCTTCACCATGTCGTGGGATGCCTTCACCACGTCGTGGCACTACCTAACATCCAAAATACACAAATTTTAAATACCTCCAAGAACCTAGATGTTATAGGATCATATTCCATTAGCAAATATCCAAGCCCTAAAGAATGAAGATAACATCCTTATGTGCCGAGGATTGCTAAAAGATTGCGTGACAATAACAAAATACTCCCACTTTGTATGGTATTGCATTTCCATGTTTATCTATTTTTTTTATGTTCGGAAAGAACTTTAGGCCTTCTTTTATATATATATATATATATATATATATATATATATAACCTATTTTGTAAGGGGTCATCAATCAAGAGTGTGTACATAATCAAAGTCTATTCTCTAATAACCACTTAATTATTGAAACTTTTTAATAGATAATATTTTGGTTTTAGTATTACTTCTTGTATTGCTCATATTCATATTATTTCTTGTTAAATATGTTGGTTAGGGACCAATAGGTACCTATAAGATTAGCCTTAGATATTAGTTTTATGGTTTCGACGACACCATCTTCCTAGTCGATGTTTACTCTGTCTACCCATTCGGACGCATTAGAACAAGAGTCATGTTGCTATGGTTTAAAGTTAAGTAATATGTTGTTATTATGGATTGAATTGAGAACATGTTTTTATAATAATAAGTTAAAATACATTATTATTATGATTTAAAAGTTAAATAATATAATGTTAGTATGGATAAAGCTGATAATAAAGTAAATTAATGTTATTATGGTTCAAAAGTATATAACATGTTTTTACTATAGGTTAAACTAGATTATGACCCGCGTTAAACGCGGACAATAATTAAATACATATCACATTAATAGGTGGCTTTGTCTTAGGTTGAATTTTAATAAAAAAAATGTTAGTTAGATTCATTTTTAGAGTTTTTGAACCGAACTTATTAGAGAGCAATTTGGTTTTTTAATGCAGTAATTTTTAACATAAATGATCTATGTGATCTTTGTTTTATCACAACTTAATGCGACTTTTTGATTAAAACATGTTGTCTAGTAGCTTTATGAATTGACTATGTTCGGTGTACCAAACCCCATGGAGGCTCATATAGCTCTTTTCATATTGGCCATGTAAAACCAAAAGTAACAATAAGTTGTTACATGTACCAGTAACACTAAATTCTGCAAATAAATTCAATAAACATTACAAATAAAGTGAGTTGTCATAACCATAAACATCAAATTCAGACATTGTAACTTGGTCGATTTCAAAGTATTTTTTCCTTATAAAAATTAAAATATGATTTTTCAGGCTACACCCAATCACATATACATATCTTCCGATCAAATAAATTATTACAAAAAAAATGTTATTAACAAAAATATAATATTAGTTTCATAATTTGCTAAAGGTTAACACTAATAAATAATAATGAACTTTCATAAATCTTGCATTTTGGTCACTACATCCAACTAACAAATGAAATTCGGTTTAGAGAATTGATTCAAGAAGTGCATCCATGAATTCTTGTAACTGAATTTTGGGAAATGTTAAGACCTACTGAGATATGAGGGAATGGTCTGTGAGGCTACGGTTGGTTTCTATAGGGCAATACACATTCAAAATCGTTAGCACATATCTTTCCTACCTGCTTCAATTATCAAATTTAGATCAAACTTGTCAAAATCAAATTATAAAAAAAAAACAAATATGTAACCTAACAATCAAACAACATATTTTTCGTTGAAATAAATATCATAAATCTACAATTTACACTTTATATATTATTCTTAAATTATATATCACATTTTCAGCTTTAATGGTCACTCACACCTCTTTCTGCCTTATTGTTGTGACACGCATCTATATCGAAAATAAAAGAAAGAACTATAGAGAAGAATGTTAACAGAGTGATACTTTCATTGAAAACGTAGCAAAATTCTTCATAAGGCCGCTAGGATTCTTCTATAGACCGCTAGAAGGTCTATATAGTGACAACCGGTGTGGCATCCATGAGAACGCACCACTTAAAATAACTGTTTTGATTAATGTAAGTGAAAAAATCATTTAGAATGCTTACCAGTTTTGATTGTTTCCACTTGGATGTGAACATTAAAATTCTTGTAGAGAAATGGAACTTCAAATGAACCCTAAATAGCCAAATCAACAAACATGACAACACAAAAAGAAGCCTAACTTGGCATATAACCAAATTTCCAACAAATTTCAAAATTTAAGGTTTTGCTGAACAATTTTTTCAATTTATCAGAATTTTATTTTATTACAACCTTATACAAGTAATCAAGAATCTAAATTAAGTGAAAGAAGTAATTATTCATTTAAATCCAGTAAAAAAATTACAATATTGTGAAATTGCATATAATTTACATGTTTGCTTATTGTCTTGGAGATACCCGACCACTTGGATATGTACTATTATTTGATTAATTAGTGCATAAATTACATTATAGAATATGAAATTTAACGATTGTTCAAATTCATTTACACTTGATTTAACAATAGAAAATTGACAAATTTATAATCATAAAAGTATACTTAATTTAACAAATTTGTTATCAAAATTAATAGAAAACTGAGTTTCTTGAAGAAAAAAGTCGAATACACAAAAACGAATAAAAAACAAAAAACATTTGAAGATCATGTCAGAAATGTATGACCAATAAGATCTTTTTGGCACTTTTCAATATAGACATGGTTAATCTTTTCTCATCTTCAGGATGATAAGTACAAGTGAGTAGAGAAAAGAAATTTATAATCATAAAAATATGTTTAATTCAAAAAATTTGTTATCAAAGTTAAAGGAAAGTATTTTTGTCCAAAATAATCAATTATTAAGTATGTAGGATATTACCACTAAGGGATTTTGAGTTTTGCATCATCCTCAAGCTTCAATAAAAACATCAACTAATGCTTATCACTTTCAAGTAAAAATCTTTGCAATTTAAACTTAATTATAGTAAATCTAATCAATAACGTTATAGAAAACGGTAAGTTTAAGAATAATTACATAAAGTTATTGAGTTAGATAGTTGGAAATCGAGCAATTGTAATTTAACATGTATGAGACCGATTATTATATTCAAAATTGGAAGTATTTACTATATTAATAAGAATTAAATACAAGGTGACTGTTTTGCCCTTGATGAATTTTGGTACCATCGATGTACACTAAGAAAGAAATAGAATAATTAAAAAGATATATCACGTTGATTTGCAAACATATAGGATGGTTAGTGCATAAGTTATGGCTTTAAATTTGGGGAGGATTTTAATTTTAATTTAGGGATAACAGAAGTTGGTGAAGGTTTGAGCGGAAACATTGATAGACAACGTGTTTGACCAAACATTGATTAAGATGACGTAAACAATTTGATCTAAGGGTGGAAAATGTATAAGTGAAACTCAATAAAAAATATTTATTGCTTTAGATGATGAAATAAAGTTTCTCTTTTAGACATAGAATTCAATCTTTTATTTTGTATATGTAAATGTTTTACACTTGGGTTGCGGTGACTTAGTAAGACATGTGGAAGATATGGTGGATAACCTATTGACCCATGTTCAAATCCTAGCACTACTCAGCCTCTCTGGCTATGGAGGTTCGCCTGCAGTAACTCTGTGTCATGAGGCATAGCATCATGTTCGCAGTGGGGGATTAGTCGGTGCGTGAAAGCTGGCCCGGAAACCCTCGTTAGGGAAGTTCCCTTTCCAAAAAAAAATGTAAAAGTCTTAGTCTTTGCCTCTCTCTAGCGTCATTGTAATGGGTTTTATTATTTAAATTTGTAAAATTGTGGATATCATTAATATCTAAAAAATAATAATATTTCAATGGTAAATGTTTACTAATAAATTTTTCAATAAATTCACAAGGAATTGTAAATAATTGTTTTAGAACGGTTAAAAGATTTACAAAAGTTTATAATTTCATAAAAAGGTGTAGTTTGCTAATATTTATATTGAAGTTGTAATGAATAACATTGTAACAATACTGACAAATTCACATTCAAACGGAATAATAGAGTAAAAATGATTAAAATTCTAAATTCATATAAGTTTAAACCCAAAAGGCAAATAGATGAATAATTCAACATTTCATAAAACCCAAAATGTATTTAAATGATCAAAATTCTAACCCATAAAACGAATAGTATGAAACAAAGTAATCAAAAAACAAACCCAAAAACCAAATAGTAAGTAAACATAATATGAAATCAACCGTACTCAAATCACCCAACTACTCATATAAAATCATGAAAATCATATATTATTTGTCTTTGGATATCAGTTTTGGTTTGCCTTCTCCAGAAGTACGATATGTCATTGATGTTAATGATCATTTGGTTGAGGACATTGTTTCCATATTAGCAACATCGTAAACATCTTCCAAATTGTGTTTTAATTCTTCATGTCTAGACACTTTTTTAAAGGATGTCCACTTAGTTAGTGGACTTGTTACAATACTTTTATCAAGATTCGAAGTCAGTGTGACGTTATCACCAGTAAACGAAACTGCATCCTAAATATAGAAAATAAATTCATATGTCAATCTAAAAGTTAATAATATTTTAAAGTATTTAAAATATTAGATTTAGTTATATTATATTTAAAACCTTTAAATTTAATGTGTCTTGACATCCGAATTTCGCCGATAAAACGTTAAACGAATCGGATTACGACGCCTATATTTGTAGTACATAGACATATGT